AATGTGATGGATGTAGAATGTGAAAAAAGACGTTTAAAATGTTTGTTTTTTGCTTGTTTAATTATCAAATGTGAAGATGTGCTTTGTTAACAAAACATTTGTAAGCAAAAATAATCACAAAAAGTTGTTGCGATACATCTATATCATCAATCTTTTCATCATTTATTTGTTAACACAAAGATTCGTTCTCTTCAAAAAACCATTGCTAAATTCTATTGTAGTTGGAATCTCGTATTCATCGTATGGAAAGAAGAATGGCTGTCAAAAAGAGGCGTGGTGATTATATAAGCAGTGACTATGAAACGCCATTGGATGCCACAACAAAGCCTACAGCCCCTAAAAGGTAGACACTGCTAGCCAAAGAAATGTACAGTCAGTGCTAATTGTATGCTTTAAAAAAGAATGCTATGCTCGCTAWTAATTATTTTATAACTATTGAAATTCTTTACACATGAACCCACGACACCCTTACACATATTCACATTAATTSATCAATCATACTTGAGCACTAGAGCATTTTCTATAATTGTAGTTCAAATATATTCAAATATAAAAGCTGTTGTGTTTGTTTCCTGTTGTTTACTGCGGAGTATCTATTAAATCTTGATTGTACTATAGGCTGAGCTATAATATTAAGCTGAGTTTTCTTCAGTCCTCCGTAGATAAACAGAATATTAATTTAATACAAAGGCTATCAAATGGTGCAAAGTAAGATTTTAKAAGTGATCCTRCAATGCAAGCAGATTTCTGTTGTGTTTTGAAAATTAGCCATTCATTGCCAATTATTTTATTTGCTGAGTAATGAACAGTCTGCATATTGACAATTATTATTTTGTTTATTTATTTATTTATTTATTTATATATTATTTATTTATTTATGTTCATTATTATAATAACACCGGTTATCAAAAATGTTGACCTTAATAAAAATCTAATGTGTAATGTTAACATTACAAAAACAACCTATTAAAATTTCTTTTTTTAATTTATTCTTCTATTTTGTTTTTATTTGGGTCAACATATTTTGTGAACAAGTGTGTATCATGCATAAAAAAAAACAATGACTGAAAGTTTTCAAGAAATGCAATAAAACTACTCTTGTTGTTTGGATTTCTAGTTATGTTTGGTGTTGATTCAAGGGCCATTGCCAACCACAGTTATGGCTTGATATATTCAAACAGTAATGTAAATAAACTGCTGAGTTTGAGATGATATTTKTTCATACTCATTTATGATTAATATTTTTAAATAATCAGTCTTACAATATTTTTTATAAGAGAGGGCTTAGGTAACCAAAATAAGTATTTGCAATGAAGACACTCTCACTATCAGAACTCTAACGCATTTAAAGTGCCAAAGAGGTTGTGGTTGGCAATGGCAGTTCCTTGTTGTAAATATGTATACACCCTTTTTGGGAAACTTTGTTATTTTTAAAGACTACCACTAGCTAGACTTGCTCCAAGTCTCTCTGATTATTTACTCTCGGGTGATTTTTTTTTAATAAAAATTTTCAAAAGATGCTATTAAAGCTGAAAGTGAGGAAGGAGATCAAGACTTGTAAAACTCCTCAATATTAACAATGCATCAATATTAAAAAGCTCAGGCCAACTAAATCTGCATTAATGTCTCCCAAAAAGGTTATACAGCTGTTTCAAAAAAACGTCAGTGAGAACGGCAATTGTTGAAGAGAGATTGCACGACCAAAATGGACTATGGTAACAATGTTTCGATAAACAAAATTTCACTTATTAGATTCACCTTGCATAAAAATGGAGACTAAATAGAGCCAATGTTTACCACAAACCATCGTTCAGTATAAATCAGTTGTTATTGCCTTTCAACTAGCAAAACCCATGGCTACTTTCGGTCGTGCAATCACCGTTTGATCATTGACATTCGCCATTTTAGCCAACAACCTTTTTTGAAATAGTTATATATAATGAACTGTGCATTTAATTATTGATTTTTTTCCTGTTCTATGCTAGACGCTTGTCAGCAGAACAACTTATACGAAGTAAAAGAGTCCCCACAACTGCATCTGTAGTCATTTCTTCGCACACTAGCAATGACGTAAGTTTTGATTCAAATATCAGAACTGAATTGCTATATCTACACTCTAAACCAACTCAATCAACAACACCTGAGACACCACAAGTTCTACAAAATAGTAATTTTAAAGAYGTGAAAGTCAATGAATGCAAGAATGAAGAAAGCCAAGAAAAAACAAAGAGTATAGTAGGTAAATGTCAAAATTGGTCTTTTCAGTTAATAGATTGATTGTACTGAGTCAATGATAAAAACCTATTCTTTTATATGTTCTCTAAGCCTTTCACTTTCTTGAGATTTTTTTTCTTTTTCATTAAACCTCTGAAAATATTTTTAAGTGATTCAAAAGGTAGCATTCAAGATTCTTAAAAAGTTTGTTGTAGGCATGCTTATTGTGTGAGCCATTTGCTCAAAGGAAATAAAAAGGTTATTGATACTATTGACACTTGTCAAATCTGTCATTTTTGGATCATTCTCTTCACATATTGATCATGGTTCCATAAGCTTCTTTGTTTGTTTGTTGTTGTTTTTTGCTTTCATTAGTTGTTGTTGTTGTTTTGCTTTCATTAGTGGTCAGGAAGGGAGKTTGCCTTTGTTAGAAGGAGATTCACACCACTGGTTAAAGTCAAATATAAGAGATAGGTCTTGAGCTTTTACATTGGTTAAAACCTTTTTTCTAGTGCCAAGTTGGAAGGTTAGTGAYCTACCTCCTGTCAGCCACAAAGGAGGAAGATCAAGCTCAGCTACAAGGTCAACAGCTACAGTAACAAGTACAGATCCACCAGAGGTATGTCAACACATTGTTAAATTTCTACTTCAAATCATATACAAGAATTTTAATGTACTTTGGAATAAAGCAAGACTGTTGTACTTCATCAGACTGAATTTTTACCATGTTATTGATAGTGTATTTTAGTTTCTCTTGAAACATATGTGATGCCATTTTGATACAATGAACAGTAGTTATATGGCCTGTACCTTCAAGAAAGTACCTATAATATTATTGTATTACATTTCTTGAAACGTTTATTAAAACGTAGCCTGTTTTTTTGGAGGGGTGAGGAAACGGATGTACACAGGCTAATTAAAACGAAATGAACAGCCATTCTAGTGGCAAAGAAATAATAATAATGATTAAGGAATGATGACTTTTTTGACTCTAATGGGAAGTGCAATGAGTGCAACAATTCAGMAAAAATAGTTTTCAAATAAAAGTAATGTCAATTTGCAGAATATTGATGATGAAGCTTTCTCCAAAAGACACTGCAAACAAGAGGCAGAAGAAAAGAGACGAAAACGGTCAGTTTTGAAATAAGAAGACTTGAACCATGAAATAAAACAAAAGTAGTCACATGCAAATGAAGTCTATTTATTGAGTAATAATCATTATCACTGAACTGGAAAAGACAAGACACAAAGTACACAAGTGACCAAAATATGTACAAAATTATAAGGATATATTCTAATTTCTAAAATTTTTGATTTATAATGCGCGGTCTGATTGGCTGATGATCGTGTTTATGTCAAAGGACTGAGACACAGCTTACCAGGAAAACACAGAAAAATTTTATAAAAGAACTATAAAACAGGCACCTGTGTCTCTGTCTCGAGAAGCAAGAAAAACACTAGCAACACTTGTGTTTCTAAGCTTGCTTCTCTCATGTTTTTCAACTCCAACCGTGTTTATATCAGAGGATAGAGAAACGTGCACTGTTATATATATTATTTTTTAAATATAAGTAGAATAATGCACACAAAAAAACTCCAACTCATAGCTTTATWTTTCTGTTTTATAATTTATAAATATATTTGAGTGACTTAAAAGTAAACATTCACAATTGAATGTTATATGATCATTATTTTAGATGGGATGTTCAAAGATTAAGAGCCATGCAACTTCATAAAAATTTAGAAGAAAAGAACAGATTAAGAGAAGAATCAAGGCTTAAAGGACGTAAATATAAGGGCAAAGACTCAAACTCTGACACAGACACAACTTTCCAGTCATTTCTACCTTCTAAAGATGACAGTAAGCCAAATACATTAATTTATTCATTCAGAAAGATGCCATTGAATAAAAATATGGAAAAAAGCAAGATTTTGTATCAATTTAATATTTTTCAGTTAGGAAATAAGTGCAGGCAATGTTATAAAAATACTAATCTAATCTAATTTTTGATAATTTAGTTATGGCAATAGAGGTGTCGGAAACAGTTCCAGTTTCTGTTTTTGGATATCCAGTTCCACTATTTCAAGTAAAGTAAGTCCAAGAACATTTTTCAAGAACAGCTGTCTACCTTTTTTCCTTCTGAGAAGCCTGATATTTCCAGGCTTAAACTAAACGAATGTTTTTATTTTACAGAGAGTTTGAAGTTCCCTGGTTCAGTCTAGACAGAAGAGAACTACAGGAACGTGCAACTAAAACCAGGGGAAGGGGTGGTGTTGGAAGGGGTAGGGGTAGAGGGCGGGGACGAGGAAGGGGTAGGGGRAGAGGAAGAGGGAGAGGAAGGGCTCATGTTTTATGATGTATGTTTTGTAAKGCATTTTGTAATATATTTTCAGTTTGTGATGTTGTTAAAATATGTTAAATTGTTTTCTTTAATGTATCTTTTTTAGGATTCTATAATGCTCTTACTTTAGGATAATAACTTCTATTTTTAAAGATAATTTTTATTTTCTTTAGATAGGTTATTAATTGAACTTTGACCAAGTGGATAGCATGGTTGACCAGTGACAACGTTCTGTAAACAACTAGGGAGTCATTTGTTGTGTGAATATTTTCAACACTTGAAACTAAAATAATGTAATAATTAAAGGTCTGAATAGTTAATGCTATGACAATTAATGGTGAAAAATGCACTCACACTTAAACAATCATTGCTTTGTTAAAAGTTATTCTATCATGGTAGTTAGACATACACTAAACTAATTTTCTTCGTAGGGTGCTTTCCATTGAGTTTTCAAGTTTTCCAYTATTTTATTGGATAAAGTTTAGAGATGATTCTTCTCCTGGATCAGCAATTATTAAAATAGAATTGTCTTTGGGTCTGCCAACCAGTTCTGACAAATGAAAAGTGCTTTAATACTAACTTGACCAACAAATTTATAACTAAGGCAACTCCCTTGTACTCTTTTCAAGTCTCAACTTCCATATGTTCAATTCAAAGCAGACACAGAAAACAGTAGCCTCTTTAGCAGTCATTTTTAGSATCATTTGGTTGGGAGATGATTGAACTGATAAAAATATCTGCTACAGAGAAAAATAACTGAAAAAAATATCTGCTAATAAGAAAACAAAGGAATTTTTTACAGACATCCAGGAATTATCTTTTACTTCAAGATTTTTTTAACTTCACTTTTGCCTAGTATCTATTTCACTCTTTTTTGACTWTGGTCTGGTATATGGGTAGATTGTTAAGGCCCGTTTACACTTGCAATTTTTGCAGCATGATAGTAGCCGCTTTGCTGTTGCACATCTAAAATTGTATGTGTAGACAGCCCTACGATTATTGCACCGATGGAAAATCACTGCAAAGTTGCAGCCAATTTTCAAGCATGTTAGAAACTCMGACGATGGTTGCACAACGATCACCGCAAGAATCGCTCTGCAAAATCGCAAGTGTAAAGGGGCCTTTAGCTTTTGAAAAACAGAGAAATAGGATTTTACACAGAGCTTTGAAGATCAAATAACCTTAAAGTAGAGGCAGTCGTGGTAGTGCAAGTCCCCAGAACCTGTTTCTTTGTTCTTTTTTTTATTTAACTGAGTTTTATAATTTGCATTCAAACAACACCATAGCACTTGTATAGAAAAAATGGAGAATCGGAACCCCATCTTGTATCTAAAAAGTCCTGAATCTGCAACCAAGGGGAAGTTGTCTCTTATTCTCAGGAGAATGTTCTCACCTTTACAGGTCAACCTTCTCACAATCAAATTGCTCTTAGAGCTTATTCCTTTTGCAAAATGGAGTGAATTTTAAWGTAACATTTCCCTATTCTTTTAAAGAAAAGTTAGAAAATATCCCATTTCCATTTCACTTCTAATGATTGAGCAGACAATAATTCCATTCTAGAATCACAATTGTTTTGAATGTTAAATTGTTTATAGGTTATTTCAATTATTGTTTAATGCTACTGACAAAATAAAGAATTATTAAGAAAGCCATCACATTGGTATCTGTTTATTTTCCACTACAACACAAAAGGGTGTTTCTAAACTYTGGTTACAGTTACTTGCTAGTCTTGTGCACTTTTTTGACCTCCATACCAGCTCTTCACTGCATGACATGCATATAGAGGATATTACATGGGTATGGGGAGATATGGATTTTATCTTCAAGGCTTGAAAATTGTTTGAAAATATTAAGTTACCATGAATGTGGTAAAACTTTTCAAAAGTGAGTGGTATAGGTTTTTCAAAGATAAAT